AGGGAAAGACAATGTCTTATACATTAAAATAGTTATCTACAGAAGTGCTGTACAATAATATAGTATGTAGCACAATTTTTTTGGGGGTGAATTTTCTGCTGTACATAGTTCATATAAGTTATGGATAATAGACCACGGGATATGCATAATAATTCATTGGCAAACGATAACATTGTTAACATGATAAAACAACAATTTGGATATGCATAATAATTACATTGGCAAGCGATAACATTGTTAACATAATAAAATAACATTTTTTTTAATTGAGATCGCTATATGAAGTATTTATTATTTTTAATATTTGTTGGAGATATGAGTGTAAGTATTAATCTTTCAACATAATTTATTTCATACTTAATAAGTTAATATCAAGGTTTAAATCCTAGATAATTTAGTTAAGAAATGCAAATCGCTGTCACTTAGATTAACTAATGTTGATATAATAAAACATTGTTTACCGTGTAATGATATGTCATATTGTTACAAATGATATGTGAGTAACACAAGTGTAATTTTTGAAATTTGTAATTATCACACCATATTTCACCCCATTAATTTGACTATGAATTATCTAGTTGGTCATCTCTTCCTTGAATTAAATGTCTTTTACATTAGAAAATGTGTATCATTTTTATCAAATTCAAGCACATGTGGTACTGGTGAACACTAACGTCATTAGTTGTTACATGAATTTGATTTTGAAAGTATGTGTGAAAGTCATTTATCTATTTTTATTTTTATTTTGACTTATGAGTAATTTGCACTAAAAATTTGATTTTAAAGTATGTGTGAAAGTTATTTATCTATATTATTTTATATGTTTTGACAATGTAATTGATCTTTTAAATTTTCTTTTAGTAACATATGTGTATTTTTTAATTTGTGTTGCATAATAAAATTATGCATTTTTAAATTATTTATAATCTTTTCTTACAAAACTTTTAAGTTATAAAATAAAAATTATGAATTTATTTATATATTAACTAATTTCAATTAATTTTTAAATTAATAAATTAAATAATATATATCACATAAATAATAATAATAATAATAATACAAAAATAAAATTGTAAAAAAAATTATAATTGAGAAATTAATTACCCGGTAATCAATTTCTTAACACAAAAATAAAAAAAAATAAAGTGAGAAATTGATTGATGGGAGACCAATTTCTTAACATAAATAATAAACATAACACTTTGATAAATATATTTTAAAATAATATATTTTTGATAAATTTATTTATATTTTATAATATTATAATAAAAATATATGTGCTATATCATTTTTAATAAAAAAAGTTAACAATAAGATTAATTTTATAAAATTACATGTTATTAGTATTTTTATATTTGATCTATTTGCTTATTGTTATTTATTATGAATGGAGACATTAGTAGATTTTTAGGTCAGACCTCTCTCTCTCTCTGTATATATTTTTCTGATCTTAATAACTGACCCTTAATAAATAAATAGAAACGGAAAACTCGAGATCCAATAAAAGCTGAACTAATCATTTGTTGTTTATTTCACGACACCTACCACAAACACAAACTAATAGTAATAGCCACGTGTTCAATTTATAGCTCATGGGGCACAATGTGATGAAGAGTGCATCTGATCTTAACCTCCATTTTATTACTATTTAAATTGTAATGATATTATTAAATATTAACCACAAATTATAATTTTGGGAATCAAACGAATCCCATTGACTCTATAAACTAAGTTGACGAGATGCCATGTATTTTACCTATTCTCGTTTAAAACAGACTTTATCTTTTAAATTTTCCCCGTGGCCCAATTTGGGTATGATGTAAGGCTGCTATTTGATAAAAAAAAATAAAACTTTTAATTTAATACTAAACCACTATTATGTTTCTTGTCAAACTTTCATTCACACAATTGTTTTTTCATTTCTTCAAATTTAATTATGTCAATATACACATGGCCATAAACTATACCAATTAGCAAGAGTACGTTGTATACTAAAAATTTGTACTTAGTCAGGAAAATTGAGTTGGCAATTATAAATATTGGTATTTGGTAATTTGTGAAAGTTGACTTTCTTCGGATATTATCCCCTCATTTTCAAAATAATTAACTTTTTTAGATTTTGGGTTTGTTACAAATTATTTAACCACAAAAAGTATTAATCGTGAATAACATTTTCATTTAATGGAATGAGATATATTAATAAATTTAGAGAGAAATGTAATTAAATAACTCATTTGGTATTAGAATTAAGAATATTTAACCATCATCTTCATCAATGTGATAATTATTTATGAGGAGATATTCACTTATTTAAATTTTTTTTGGTAGATTTATTGTACTCAACAATTCATCATCTTATTGAGTTTTAACAATTCAATCATTAGATTAAAAAAAATTTAATATTAAAATTGTAATTTTTTTAAAAAATTAAAAATTACTTGATACATTGTTTTAGTAATTTAAATTGGCAGATAATAAGATGAAGTATCATATGATTTTTAAATTTTCAAAAAATTTATACATTAAAATTTTTTAATTTAACGATTGAATCATTGAAATTCAATGTAAATGATGAATTATTAAGTAAAATAAGTAGATTTCTCCTTATTATTTATACATTCATAAAAAAATTGGAAAAAATATTAAAATGTAATATTTGATGTTAAAATAAATCTTTATGGAGAAATTTCTTTACATTATTTTTAATCATTACATTTATTACAAGGATAAAGATTAATAAAATTATAAATAAAATTATTATAAGGATAATAATTATCTCTACTTTGAACATGAAATCACAACTAGATGTATGACTTTACTTATAAAGAGACCGACTCCATGAAAAGATGAATAATTTATTTATAGAATAAAACAAATAATTTTAGCCATTAATAAAAAGTCAATTATTAACAATATATATATATATATATATATTATGTATGAAAATTTTAACTGTTAATATTTTTTTTATGAATAATTGATATTACTTACTTTATCAAGGCAATTTAAAAAAAAAAAAAATGACTGCGTAGCTAATAGCATCTCCAAATTTTTTGTTAAAATGTTAAAAGTGAGTCCAAAGTGGCACATCAAATTTAAACAATCCACTCACATTTTACTCCAATAACACAAATTTTAAGAAACCCATAATTTCTTTTTTGTACTTAGTTTCTTCCATCATTAAAATATTAATTTTTAAGCAATATTTTTTTTTTCTTCGTAAAGAATCATTCCTATATAAAGAACTATGCCACCCTATAAATCAACTCCAATGCAAAAAAACAAAGAACAGTTTTTTAGTTTAAGCAACTCCATTGAAGTTGCTCTAAATAGTAAGTAGTAACCAAATGTGCACTGTTCAGATTGCATAGCTTTCCTTTCCGTATGTTTGCATTAGTCGACAAAGCAGCAAACAGAACCATCTGCCAGGTACTAAAACCGAGTAAACACAAGACTTTTCCTCCATACAAAGTAGTTGTGCGTGACACATTAAAAAGATACAAAATGGTAAGCACAAATATCTAGTAATCCATATCAATTGGTATGGTATGGTATGGTTAAACTCTCATTTTATTAATATATCCCAAGATCAAAATGTCAAAAAATTAAGTCATTTTAATAGAAAAGAAAAAGAGTGTTTTATAACCGCTGAGTTGAAATTTTTAGTATGGTGCACTTTGCGTCAAGTTTGTGCCATTGTAATTTCAGTTTGTTACATAGTAGTGGTCCAGCCATCCCCTTCACTCTCTTGATGAATTATTATGAGAGTACATAGTCATTAGTGAGAAGGATTTATTAGCACACCACTTGTGTTCCAAGAAAGAGAAGGAAGCAACAGATAGATGGGTGGTCAGGTTTTATGGTAGGTGACTAAACAACCACCTTGTGCTCACATGTCTTCTTTATGTGTATTATAAAATCTACCTTTCTATCTCTTCATGTGTAATCACTTGGGCTACCTATCCCAATTTTTCAACACCTCATTCATTTCTCTTTGATGCAAAGAAAAATAATTACCCCACAAACATGTCACCTTTGGAGTTTATGATTATACAATTAAGTACACCCGTAAAATTCAAGTGTGTGAAAACAAACAGTACCACAGATATCTGCTACAATTCCTGGACTTTCAAAGAAATGAAAATTGTTCTATGAACAAAGTAATAACATGTAATAGCACCCGGAAAAAAGAAAATAGGAAGAGAACATATAGAAAGTTCATCTAATGCTATGAACTAGTTGTAAAATCTGAGCAAAACAGAAGAAGACACATATCCTGTAAAGAATTAATGAAATGAATGCAGAAATATTTCTATACAATCTAAATCTTCACTCTGAGTTTTGGCTATGAGATCATGCCTACCAGTGCCTCCTGCTTGTGGTTGTCTTCTACTATCCACCAGGGTCTGTTAGAGTCAGCATGGCTATTACTCTCTTCTTCAGTAGCAGCAGGAAGATTAAGATCAAGGAAGTCCCTAATTTCTTGCACTGGTTCCTGAATTTGAAAGCTTCTACTTTCAGACACACCAGTCATGTGAGATCTCTTATGGCCACCTAAGGCTTGGCCAGATGCAAAAACCTTGAGGCAAATTGGACACTCATGCCCCTTGCTCTTCTTGGACTCAGTTACTGTTCCCATCTGATTGTGAAAGCCAGCTCCATGTTCATTTTCCATTAGATACTCATTGTCACTGTTTTTTATGAGCTTGTTTTCAGTGGTTGGACTAGGAGAGAGATCAGTTTCAATGCTGTTTTCACTACTCTCATTTCTTGAAGCAAAGCAGCCTTTGATCTTCTTGTGGCTAGCTCTATGGCCTCCAAGAGCTTGGTATGAGTGGAAGATTTTGTTGCAAGTGGTACACTCAAACTTGCCTCTCTTATTAGAGTTCTTGCTAGATTCAGCTTCACAAGCCTTGTCCACCCAATTCTTACTTGACTTCAATTCAGAACCGAGGAACTTTGTCTTGATTGAACTGTACTTGTTGCCAGTAGTAGCTGACTTTGAAAAAACTGATTCTGTTCCATTGACTCTGCTCCTCCCATGTTCAACTTCAGAATCCTCCAATGCAGACACATACTCAAGCTCAGACTTGTTTCCCTTTTCATACTCTTTATTGGAAACTCCACTTTTGTTCACTCTAAATCCATTTCCAAGAATTTGCGTAGCAGCAGCGGTAGTATCAGCAGTAGTCAAAAGTTGTGAACTCTTCCCTCCAGTTGAGTTGGGATTTTCAGAAGCAAAATTGCCAGCCTGCCACTTGTTATTATCATCACTTTGCTTGATGAGTTTTCCTATGTTAGGAGTGAAGCTCTTCTTGCCATCAAATTTGGTAACCAAATTAGTTCGAACTGAAGATCGAGCTTCGAAGTAAGCAGAGTTATTGTCAGAAGACTCAGCAACAGAATGAGGACCACTCCAAGGACTCACATCCCTACTAAGCATCATCAAGCTCATAGCAACCTCTTCTTGCTCTTGCTCAACCTCAGAGAGAGAAGACGAAGGATTGGCAAAAGACACAACCGAAGAAGTTGTAGCAGCAACCGTGTACCTTGTTCTTCTCTTGGACCTTCTTCTCTTATTTGGAGCAGTTCCTTCGTTGTCAGATTGGCTATCCATAACCACCTTGTGGCTAGAATTAGCATTAGTCCAAGAATCTTGATCTTCCAAGCTGTTAGAAACTCTTTCTTTCTCTGAGTGGCATTTCATGTGACCAAACAAAGCCTTCCAAGAGCGGAACCCTTTGCCACACTCTTTGCAGAACTTGTCATACACCAAAGCCTCTTCGCTTGAGTAATCTGAGATTCTCCATGTCTTCTTTGGCTTCTCTCTGAGACCATAGGCAGCGTTGGCTGCAGCTTCAGAATCTGTGTCTTTGTCTTTGTTGAGAGAAGAAGAAAGCTTCCTCGTTGGAAGTTTCTCTTTCTCGTTTTCCTCGTGTGACAAGTTGGTGATATGAGACCTCATGTGACCCCCCAAGGATCTGCCACAAGGGAAGCTCTTGCCGCAGAACTTGCACGCGTGTTTGAATTCTTGAATTTGATCTCCCTCCATTGAATTCCGACACGGATCAGAGAGGCAAAAGGGTTGTTCGGAGGTTGAAAGTTGAATCAGAGAGTGTCCAAGAATGCTGAATTCATCGATCTCGCTTACGCGAATCAGAAGAGAAGAAAAGTAAAACTAGCGCGACCCAGATCAGATCATTGAGGCGAAACTGCGCAAAAGCTGCATCACGCTACCTTTTTGCACTGACTGCAGAGAGAAAGAAAGAGTGGTTCCATGAGTTTCAACGAAATTCCAAATCTAAGGCACAAAAAGAGGAAAAAGAAGAGAGAATGAGAACTGAGAAGCAAAGAAAACTAAACTGACTATGGTTACTATGACTAGTTACTACTGCTACTGTGCTACAAGCTTCTTGGGCAGTTGAGTTTGGAAGAAAAAATAAAAACTTGTAGAGTTGAGAGTTGTGGGTGTGTGGTGTTATGTTATATGTTGTGCTGTGTTACCTTGGTTGCCAATGATGGTGATGAACAAGGCAAGAGTGGAGAAAAAAAAGAATTAGAGTTAATGAGCGTTGATTTCTCTCTCTCTCTTCTCTCCACTTGGAGGAGAAATCCATGCATGGAAGCAAAGATAAAAAAGAGGGAGAGTGGTAAAGAGAGGGAGGATCATAGCAGCACGTGTACTCAACTCAGGATACTACGCCACTCCTAATCCAACGCTCTCAGATTGCTCCACGTCACCACCTCAGCAACCTACTAAAACTAACTCCCTCCCCCAACTATTCCTTCCTTTGTCTGCCTATCAAGGAAAGGACAAAACTTAAATGGTAATATTTGATTCTGTTTTCTCATACTATTCAAATTTTCTTTTATTTTATTAATAATATGCATTTACATTTACATGTAATATAATATCCAGATAAAATAAAACTTTCATTTCCGATTAAGTAAGGGTAGTAACATCTGTTGTTATAATAGTGCAATTAAGTTTTCTTGGCAAGGAAATGGGTCTACTCTCTCTTACACACACTTGAAGTGAAAGGTTCGACTCTCTGGCCGTTATTCTTTGGACTTTCTATTAGTGAATGGTTTTGATTCGTAGGATTAGAAAAGAGTTCGAAGTGGGGCCCACTGGTTACCCTCTATCCAGTTGCTTCACATCCCAATCAAAGCCTGCTGTTTATTGATTCTCCTTGGGTGATTGAGGGGGCACGTTTAGAGGGCAATTTGGTAAAGAAAAAGTCCTCAAACATTGGGTGGGTCACTGTCAAGTGGGGTTTGCTTATGTTAGCTTGTTTTATTTTCAAGTTCTTATTCTTGTTAGTCGGTTTGGTTCGGTTGCTCCTTGTTTGTCTTAAATATCAAGTTTTTTTGTTGTTGTTGCAGCCACAGTTGAAGTATGTCATGCCACCAAAACCAAATGGTGGACTAGGTGAGCATAGGATTAGCACTAATAATGCAACTAAAAATTGGTACATTAATGTGAGCCCAAGAGTGAATTAGTGTGTGATCTGCCTCTATCTCTCTTATTTTGTTTTAATATCCTTTTGGAATCGTCGATCTAGAGTATAGAGTATTGAGTATTGTAAATGCCATCTTTCCTCCGAGGGCCACAATGATACAGCTAAATTCTCTTGGCATCACAGGAGTTGTTTAGATTGATTAGGTGGACTCTGAAATTGCAGAATAAGAACTTGGAGTTTTAGGCTACCCATTAGAGGGAGTGTTGGCTATCCACTATGCCGTCTCGATGTGCCAGTTGGCCATTTTCATTTTATTTAATGTTTGTTACCCCCCAATTGTTAAAAGGGATCGTATCCTATTTTTTTTAACTATAGTATTAGATGTATGAGTAAACTTAAGCTCAAACAACACCATTTTTATGTTTATTTATTTTTATTATTAATAAATATTTCTCTTCATAATAAATTAAACGATGAAAAGATATATATACAAAAATTATTTTATGTAATTTGTACAATTTTTGTTGGGGTGGTTCATATTTGTCAAATATTGTATTAAGTGAATATTTTCTTTTAAACGTAATCTATCTTATATTGAATGAGTGTTTGATAAAATATTTGAAAAACTTGTAAATTTGTTTGACTAGTTAATAAGTTAGTTTGAAAAAAAGAAGAATTTATTTGATAATTTTTAAACTCTTAGTTATTTTTTTCTTTTTCCTTTTTTATCCTCTTTAATTTAATTACTTGAATTTCTTTTTTACTCTTTTTAATTTAAAAATAATTTTACTTATATATTTTTCTCCCACTCTCATCACTAAATAAATGAATATGTCATTTTACATTAACCAACTAGTTTATTAGCAATATTACCAAACATTTTTAATTCAATTAATTAGTTTATAAATTTTTTTATTTTCGACTCTTAACTTATAACTTATAAATTTTTAACTAATATATAGATTTTTAATTAATTTATAAATCAATTTTATTAAATACGCTGAATTTCAAGATTCAAAACAAAATTACTAAAGAATAAAGATCATATCATCATAGAACTAATCCAAAGGCAATTCTAAATTTTTACTTAATTTCCTTCTCTCTCTTTTTTAACCTTTTAGAAACAAGGTTATTGTAATACACTTGTCTTAATACAACTTGTAAAGGGTATTTGATCTGCATGGATAAAAAATGTATATCATTTATATGTTTGGAGTTTTAAATTAGTAAAGTAATTCTTATTTGCCAGAGTAAGTTGAATGCAAATATGTTGGATCTGGCTGTTTCTCTGTTTTTTAATATATTTCACATACATAAATGATTAAAATCATAATTTTTGGGTCGTTGTCAATTGAAATATTTTCAATGGATGAAATTCGTGATATATTTGTAAAAATGTGATGCGTGGTTTTCTATTATGTGGCAAATAATAGTCACACCTACTGTAATAAATTGCAGCTACTAATGGAATTTATCAGATGCAATATGGAGATTCTACTCTCCGTTAATTGTGAAGTTTATATTCATACACGTCACAGTAAAACAGAGCACCCATAATGCAGGTGAAAACTGAAAACCGTGAAAGCTAGGTTACATATATTTACTGGCATTAAATTATCGTACAAATTTAAAAGTTAAAGAGTTAAGACTGAAGTCTCAATACGAATGAAGACCAAACATTTCCTAAATAATTTCTACGGATATCCAGAGTCAAAGATTAAAATATATCGTTGGTTCAATTTAAAATTCGAAATTTCTATATTATTCATCAACTTAAAACTCAATTGTAGCTAGCTAATTTATTTTGCATAAATGACATAGTTAGTTAAATCTCTTTATTTTATTAGTTAAGATCTGAAATTATATTCGACTTTCTTCATATTTTCTATCATTCCATGCGAGTTTGAGTTTGAGTTGAAGATAAGACAAACGATCTGTATAATTTTATTGAAAGTCTTTTAAGAAATTGTTTTATTTTAATTCAAACTTTTCTTTTAAAAAAAAATTGTAGCTAGCTTGGACCATCTGTATTTCATTCATTTACTAAAAAGGAATAATTATTTTATCAATTAAGATAAGTTTATTTTGTTACACGTGTAACCAATTTTTTCTGTTATATTTTTAGTTTTTTTTTATCGGTAAAAAATATTATAACACAACAATAAAAATGAAACTCAAATCTTAATGTATAACTCAAAACTTAATGTATCTACATCAATAATCTCTATCATTTGACCGATTCTGTTGGCTATTTTTAGAGTTAATATTTATTTGTCAATATAAGAAACTTATATACAATTAATCAATAAAAAAATTATGACAAGTGTAGTTTTTAAAATGATTATAAAAAAAATTAAACAATCTTACAACATACTACATACATATATATATATATATATAATACCTCCTTACCTTACAAGCCCCTTTTGTAAGGGGGTGTATTGGGAAAAACTCAAGTCTCCCATTGACTAGAGATTAGGCAATTAAATAGTATATAAGTGAAAAATAACTCCTTACCTTACAAGCCCCTTTTGTAAGGGGGTGTATTGGGAAAAACTCAAGTCTCCCATTGACTAGAGATTAGGCAATTAAATAGTATATAAGTGAAAAATAACTCCTTACCTTACAAGCCAGTTTTGTAAGGTTGAGTTAGACTTATTCCACTATTCTAAAAAAATCAAACAACTAAATTTTTATTTTATTTTTTTTACACACTTATTTTTCTCTTCTCTATTTTTTTTTTAATTTCTTTTCTTTCTAGGAACATAACTTGTGAGTGAGCATTACTATTGGATTTGATTCCTACTTTTTATGTGAACCTTGCGCAGAGTACTATTGTTGGCTTTCAACCAACAATACCATGATGACTATAAGCAGTAACTTGGTAATGATTGAGTTTTATTGTAACCCGAAGACGGTAGGTATTAACTCGTCCCTCTTCAGATTCATGCATCGGATATATTTCACATGTCTATTAGTTGGTGCTGATAGTAAAGGGTTAAATAATTGTGTATCACATTATGGGTTTGTAAGAGAAGTTCGTGCATTTGCATTGATGTTGTGTAACCAATTGTAGTACACTTCTCTTCTGACTTTGTTAAAATACAGAAAATGGCACTCTAGTGTTTTTACTGTCTGTCATTTCTTTGCTTTGATGACATGATCATGCAAAATGGTTTGGCGTCATAGTGCTTCAAATTTCGAGTAACACCCAAACATTTTAATTTGGTTTCCGGTCTTCTGTTATTTTTCCTTCATAATTATTCAATTCTTTTTGTATATATTTATTTCCTTAACGCTCTGTGAACCATGGTGCTCAAATTAGGTCCAGTCTTCAGCTTCAGTTTTAAGCCTCGAATCTCGATATTCCTGTAGAAATTAAGATATAAAAGCACGAATACTAAAGCTTTTATACGCACCGCTTCCACAGTCCGAGCCAAATATAGGATGTTTTCTGCATAAGAACAAGAACTTAGGAGCAACAAGCTGGTGGCAGTATTGAAATGAGTATTAGTTGCAGATGCACAAAAAATACATAATTTTCTCAATAATCCTGTCAACCCCGCAAATTAAATGTAGTGTGACACATTTATATATGGTTCTCTTTGTAATAATAATGTTAAGTAAATTGACAAGAATATGGCAAGTGGCAACAATAAATAAGCGTTCATGATGCATATTATGGTGCTTCACAAGCTAATCTATTATAGGATTATTGCAAAATTTGGGGTGTTTTCATATTGGCTCAGACGATTGTGTCTCAGATATGCCACAATAGCTGGTAATCTACTCGGAGCTTCCTAAGTTTGTACGTTTCAGGGCAAAGAAAGAAACGTGTGTCCTGACTAGGAAAGTGGTGATGTTATCATGAAAGGTAAGACTAAAAGCAGCCATAGCTATCCACATAACACACTAGGCTATAAGGCTGCTACCAAATTATAAAGTATTTTAAAAATGAGTGGAATGACTTTGATATGGTTTTACAAAAAGCACGATTATATTTGTTCAGTTTACCCTTAATAGGGCATGTTAATTCCAGTCACAGGTTCAAAACTCAGAGCTACAATGACTTGAGCAAACTGTTAATCAACGTGGTATTAATTTCAAAATTTATTGCATGAGTAACAACTTGACAGATGTTCGCACTTATTGGAAAATCCACGTTAAATCGAAGTAAAAACATGGATAAA